GAAGAATGGTCAAAATTAACTTTTCTTTCCTAATCCAGCAAATAAACCAAGTCCTGAAACAGAAGTCAATAGAAGTCATATATATCAAATCCAAGTTCAAACCATTTACAAACAAGACAATCTAATGGAGCAACTACTCACCACACTTCGCAGAGAGCCCTTTAATCAACAACACATGCTTGGGCAGCAGTGTCAGATGGTGCAAACAAATCTTTAGTATTACTAGAAATTACATGATTTGTGAAAGCACCTTAGTTCTTCAAACTTTTGAATGGTGTCATACCCCACATGGTTTAAAAATTATTAATCAGTCCAATAAAAATATCAAAAGGGTACACAACAACAGCTATAGCAACCTAATAGCATTCAGAATCAAACTCCTCTTAGGAACACTCCCAACCCGTCAAACACTCCATCAACATTATCCTGATCAATACCCAAATAGGTGTTGCCCAAGATGTGAACTCCGCACTGAAGACATCCAGCACGTCTTTAAATGTCCTGAAGCCTCAGAAGAGACCAGTCAAATCATAAATAACATCAACCAAATTCTTCAAGCAGACAAAAATTCCAGACTGATCTCTCACATATGGCAAGTTGTGGAACTATCATGTGGCATCACCGATAGAATATTTTCCATAACAGATATCACCAACTGGGTCAAGGCGTCAACCGAATCCCTAACTCAACTGTATAATTCAATCTGGAAACCACGATGTAACACCGCCAACACCTCGCCAATTACAGGTATCAAATGGAAACCAAACGAATTACTGAACACTACCAACTCAGCCAAATCAAAAAGAAACTATACCGCTTCTAGTGAAAACTCACACTCCAATGATATTCAAAACAAAACCATCATAGACCTACCTACAATTGTCACTAACTCTTTTATTCAATGTAATTATAACTATAACAAATGTATTCAAAAATTAATCTTATCTCTTCCAAACACCATCCCCCCTAATACTGAGTAGGTATTCATAGCTGCTCGGTGTCATACGGCAAGATATATTGTTTTAAACTTTCTTTTCAATATTAGTCATATGGTTACTGTAGGCAAGCTAGCATTTAACTCATTGTATCAACATATGAGAGATGTTGTTTCTTTCACGATGTATACCTTGTTATATACAAATAAAATAAAGAAATGATGTTTACCTACTTTAAAAAATATACTGTATATATATATATAATTAGTAATTGATTTATTTGTTAATAATATAATTAATTTGTTTATTAATAATATAATTTTGTTTTGATAGTTGTTACTGAAAAAGGTTTATTTATATTAATTAGTATATAGTGTTTTAGTAGTATAGATTTGTTTGAATAATTGATAATATTTGAATAATTGATTTTGAAATTTTAATCAGTTGACAGAAATAAACTGATTGCAATTTTTTTGTAAAAATTTTTTTGAAAAAAGTTTTGTGTTTTTTGTGATATAGTAAAATATGCTAGACAATAATAAAAAGTAAACAATAGATATATTGCTAATTCTTCAAGTCAACAATATAAACATTTTTAATATGTGATTTGGTTTTTTGGTTTGCAAAGAAAATTTTCAAAAAAAATATATAGTTATTTAATAAGAAATATACTGTATATTAGTAAGAAATAAAAATAAGAAAAATTTTAAAAAAGATTTATAAAGAAATAACTGCCATAAATTTTTTCTTATGCAATTTAAAGAAAAAGCAAGAATCTCAAACTTGCTTTTTTTTAATTAAAAGTCTTATTCTGATGTATCAATATACTTATTTAATTTTCTTAAAATTCTTATAGTAAAGATAAAAGATATATAAAAAACTTTGGAATATTGAAAAGTAAGAAAAATATTGTATATAGAAAAAAGTTTTTTTTTTTGTTAAAATTTTTTTTTACTTTTAATTAGTTTTTAATTACTATTATTATTATTATTATTTATTCCAATTAATTGTATTAGAATTATAGTATATACTTGTTAAATATTGAAAAACAAAAATTAAAAAGATATTAAAGTTATTATACAAGATTATAAAATTTAGTATTTTTGTTTATTATAAAATAAGATTTTTAAAAATAGTTAAAAATTTTTAAGATTTATATTATATATATATTTCTTAAATTTATTATATATTTTTTTAAAATACAGTTTTAAAAAATAAAAAAAGATATAAAAATTTAAATTAAATATAATAAAAAAAACCATTTAAAAAGACCTATAAGTCAATAGCACAGTAAACAATACTTCTCAGGTTATCAAATACATGTTTTTAGTTCAATATCTATAGGAAACAAAAAGCTTATTTATCTTTATATATAGATTTATTAAATATCTTATATATGTTATATTCAATAATCCTTAATTATATTCAAATTTAGTTAAGCTATATAAAGATAAGACCTTTGGTCTTTTTGATAATTGCAAGTTAAAAACATGTTGAAATATAAAAGATTATATAAAAAAAGACTTTTGAATTTATTTTATTACAATCAACCCTGTCTAAAGTCATACTGTCTAAAATCACAATTGATTTAAAATCCATTGTCTATAGTCATATTTAATATAACTTTGTCTATAATTACAGTCACCTAAAGTTTTCAAACCAATTTTTAAATTAATCCTATTTAAAATTCTTTGTCTAAAATCACTTTTATTTTATCTGTAAAATTAAATTCTCATTATATATAGCATTTTTATTGATTGTGTAATAATTTGATGATCCATGTACTCTAAACTTATCACGAAATACTTAAAATAATTATTAAATTCATTATGCATAAAATAAGTTTCTCGAAGAAATATCAGAGGCTGATAAAAGTTTTTATATTATTTAAAAATAGGAGCCAAAAAATCCTAATCAGTATTTTTGTTACCTGTTGTTAATTTCTATTTAAATTAAAAAAAATATTAATTTATTTCTTATACATATAAAGAATTATGTCCATTTTCAATTATATCTTGTGCTTTTGAATTGAGCTGATGCCATTATTTTAGATTTTATTTTTAAAGCCATTTGCATATTATGGGCTGTTCAATATTAGGTAAAATACATGTATCCCTTTTCTTTATTATTATATATATGTCGTGGGCTATCCAATATTAGATTAAATATTTGTTTTCTTTATTATTATCATATGTCTTCAGTTTAATATTTGATACATACCAGTTTAATTTAAATTAAAGCATATAAAAATCTTATGTTTTTTTCTTTTTTTCTGATATGCTATAACAGGGAGAAATGGAACATGACATTAGTTACATGACCGATCGACATGACAATAGTAAGTTAACTATGATAATTAGATAATAAAGGAAGGACAAAAAGGATTGTGAAAAGAATTATGTAATTTAGCTTTAGTCATGTTGCTGTATCATTAATTATTATTATGTCTAAGCTGCCATAGCCAAATGTAAAGTATAAAAGAATATAAAATGTAAAGGAAAAGATATAACATAGAAGTGAGAAAATAAATAAAAACTTGATCAAATACAAACATGTCTCAAATCACCCTTTCATTTATTTACCCAGTAACAGTTATGCAAATCTCTACTAAAGTTATCGATTGACTTGCCATTATACCGTTACATTTTTGGTAATAATTGTGAGATTTATACAAGGATGATGTCCAATTATCCCTCCCTTCCTCAATATTTTCTTGCAAATACTTTTTTGATACTTTTTTGACCCCTATATCATGAAAAACAAACCATTCATTAAAAAACTCCTTTTATTACTAGAATTTCCAATTTTTACTTTTCTTTTATTTACAGACACCTACGCAGCAATTTGAGAAGAGCAATCTGACCTAACGAAAGCATAACAAGAACTAATGATGCCATTTAGTAATGATATATAGAAGACAATAGAAAAACATATTGACAACAAAATGACCACCAAACAAGAAGAGGTGAATGAAGATCTCAAAGAAATGACGATCAGCCATCTAAGTGAAATCCTGGAAGAACACCCTAATAAAAATAAAGCCCAAGTAGCTGAAGATGATCAAAGGAATGATGTCATGAAATCCACTTATGACAGAGCCCAGATAACTGAAAGTATCAGAATGCTAGACAAGAGAAATGATGAAGCAAGGGAGTTGACAAGCAAACTGGAAGATGATGGGTTAGTGCAAGACATAGGGAAAAAGCATTATCAAGAAAAGGAAACGAACCAACTGAAAGATGTATCGACAAATGATAAGGTATAAGAGAGTCTTGATGAAAAAATATGCCCCAAGTCACAAAGAGAAGTCAACCACGTAGAAAAGATTAATGAAGCTATCCAAGAGATCGATGCAATGATCAGAAATCAAGAGCTAATCCATAACGAGATATTAGTTATTCACGACAGCCCAAATTCATGTGAGAAAATGATAATTACAAATGATAAAGCCATAGTGCCCAAGATCATCAGTGGCCAGATCAAAGTGGAAAACAAAACAGAAAAAGAAAATAAATCGGTAATAAGCTACGAATGAAATAAAAAACTTTTTGATAAAATCTTAATGTGTGATACATATAATATAAGTGTGGGGGAAGAAATGTGATGTGACATTAATCACATAACTGATCAATATAACAATGGTAAGTCGGCTGTGATAATTAGGTAATAAAGAAAGAATAGGAATGATTGTGAAAAGAATTATGTAATTTAGCTTTAGTTATATTGTTGTATTATTAATTATTATTATAGCTAAGATGCCATAATCAAATATAAAATATAAAAGAATGTAAAATGTAAAGAAAGAGATGCAACATAAAAATGAAAAATTAATAAAGACTTAGTTAAATACAAATACACCTAAAATTACCTTTTCATTTATTTATATAAATCTCTACTAGAGTTAGTGACTAACTCGCCATTACATTGTTACAATGCTTAAAGAAATCAAACACCCAATTACTATTGAATTGAAAAAAAAAATCTGTCAGTATCATAATAAGCATCCTAATATTAAGTATAAAGAATTGGCTACTATTTTCAAAATTGAAAACAGCTGTTCTACAATAACTAAGATTTTAGTGAACAAGGAAAAATGGCTAAAGGAAGATACATTCAGTAATGTGGGCAAAGAGTAAGAATATGTGTTGAAAAATACTATAAAATAAACAAAGCACTTAGTTTTTGGGTAACTGCTGCAATAGAAAATAGGTTAATTCTTAGTGGAGTGATACTTCAAAACAAAGCATTAATATTTTTTATGAACTTTGATAATGAAATAGATTTTAAAGCAAGTGAGGAGTGGCTTGAAGCCTTCAAAAAGAGGTACAGAATCAGATCTTATATTCTTTATAGAGAATCCAATAGTACTTCATTAGTTAACTTACCTGAGGCACGTTCAATACTTCAAGATATTATCTTGCAGTATGATTCAAATAATGTGTATAATGCTGATGAAACTGGTATATTTTATTATCTATTTCTAAACCGTACTCTTTCTACTACTTAAACTTTTGGAACAAAAAAAAACAAAGAACAAATTACTATCCTTTTTGTATATAATTCGACAGGCTTATATAAGATTAAACCCTTGTCATTAGTAAGACTGCCTGGCCTATAGCATTTAGATCCCTAAATATAAATAACTTATCCATAACATATCAATCGAATACAAAAGCTAGATAACTAGTGAAATTTTTAATAAATGGCTCAAGACTTTGAATATTCAAATGATAAATCGAAATAAACAAATCCTTCTCTTAATTGACAATGTCTCATATCATGATAAAGACCATAATCTCAGCAATGTGACAGTCAAATATTTTTCATCCAATATGACATCTTACTTATAACCATTAGATGCTAGCATTATTTTCACATACAAAACTTGGTATCATCACTTCCACCTATCACATCTGATTGACCAATATGATGGCAAAATTGAAATAGTAAAGGTTTCTATTAAAGATGCAATTTACTTTCTTACAAACTTATGGAATCAAATTGCTCCAGAAACAATCCACAATTGCTGAAAGTATATAGGAATAATGAATACAGAATTACCATTATTGCCATCAAATATCAATGTTAAAAGTAACATTTATACAGATATTACGTATTTAATTAATCAACTTGATATTAATTCTGAAATTCGAATATCTACAAAGCAGTTTCTTGAAATGGATTCTGCTGTTGCAAGTTATGAAACCATGTTTGATGTGAAAATTGTAGAGGAAGTCTTGCATCGCTCTAATCCTTTGCCATCTGAAAATAATTCTGAAGACGAAATAACACTATTGCTAATGACTGCAATGCAAGAAAAAGAGATGCTTGAAGGTGCTCTTTTGTGATGTAAATAGCAGAACAAAGTGGAAATTAATGTAGGGTTTTTAAAAAAACTTAGACAGCTAATATGAAAAACTATATTAAAGATAGCATAACAAAAGAAATAACAAAATATAAGTTCTTTTTTTAATAATAAATCTTAATTACCATTACAGGTTAATAATAAAAATAAATATATTACTATTATAAAAGTATTTATATATTACATATATAATGATTACTTGAAAATAAAGTTGTATCTAATATATTGAAAATTTAATTTTAAGAAAAAAAAAATTGATGTACTCAAGAAACTCTTTCCACTGATCTCTTGACCAACATTCCAAAATGGCGTTCAGACTAAAGCATGTCTTTATTCTTAACAAAACCTATACACTTT